GTAAGTGAATGAATTTTGTTCTCACAACATCCCTGGAAAGATAGATTCTAGGTAGAAAGGAAGTGGTAATGGTAATTTGTTGACAAAAGTGATTCAAGAAGAAAAATCCTTCAGGAGATGACAAGCAATATGACGACCTGTCTAGGGAGAACTCAGGTCTACAAGAGCATATCTCTGATGAGTGTCCGGATCCCCAGTGAGCTGTCAGGTGCTGCGTTTGGAGAAAAGCAGTCTTAGTCATTTTGTTGGGACTCATTAAATCTCCTCCATGACCTCCAACCGTGAGATGATGCCACGGTGACTCAGCTGGCTTCCCTGCCCTCCAGGCAGGGCTTTACTCAGTGTCTGTTATGTTTGCCAAGGAGAGTTGATTCTTAGTGAAAGCTTTGGTTCAAGAATGATAGCTGAACTTCTAAGAATCTCAGATTGGAAACAACTCATGCTATTCTTAGAAGGAAATAAATCTGACAGCAGAGTGTGTATTAGCAGAACATGTTTGCCCCACACCAATAAAAGATCTCATTTACCATTCGAATTTAATTGAGAGGGCATTTAACACATTTTTCAAGCTAGTTATGTTCCTGTAGCACAAAGCCATGGCTATTACTCAACTTCAGGATGAATTATTTTCAGCCATTTTTTTTATATATCAAGGGGAGAACAAAGCAAACAAGCATTTTAATTATTTAAAAGAGCATTAGAGCAGTTAAACTTTTCCAACAAATACCAAATGAGTGAAGCAGAAGGACAGAAAGTACTGTATTAACGGTTTGCCATTCAGGTGGCTCATAGAGCCTCCAGCAATCATGTGCTCCAGATAGAATATTTATATTACATACAAATCTAGTGCCTAGAAAGGCACTAATAGCAAACTTTCAACTTTCGCACAGCTCATTGACTCCTGGTCTTTAATGGTTAACCCACAAGGGAGCGGTTGCCTCACCAATGCCTCATTTGTCTTCTCTGTAACTCCCTCCGTGGTTCTGTTAGTTCTACTATTAAATAAATGGCAATACCCACAATTTCTTTTAAAATATAACTAGCTGCTAAATGTCACCAGTATGATAATAAAATATATTTATAAATAAATAAGTGTTTAATTGTTCACATTGCTTTCAAGTGAAATTTTTTTCAAATAAGACAAGCAGACACCAGATATTGAATCCCAACATAAAAATATTTAACTTATGTATTGACTCCAAGGTACATAGCACAGAGATATATAGAATTTGTTACTATTTCATCGGTGAAAGCCTTTTGCTTCAATTAGACATGTATAGAGGGAAATTGAAAAACCCATTTAGATTTCAAACCATTCTACCATCAACATGGAAATATGAAGAATACAATTTACCCAGTGTTACATACACTAGCACATTGGTAGACAGAGATAGTAAAGGTCACTGGAGAAAATAAGAAAAAGATGCTTATAAAATTGGCTTTTAATACTTACGTATAATCAGTAGCATAATTAATGAATGAGTTAACAATTTATTTAGAGTTTGGTCTTTTGATTACTCTGTGTCACTTGTGTGTGTGAGTGTGTGTTTTATGTGTGCATGAATTACTAGATCCTTAACTGATACAGACATACCAGACATGTCTTTACCTTTTTAAAAAAGTTTTAAATATCTTTTATTGATTATGCTATTACAGTTGTCCCACCCCCCCTTATTCCCCTCCACCCTGCACACCCCTTCCCACCTGCATTCCCCTCTTTCAGTTCATGTCCATGGGAAGTACATATAAGTTCTCTGGCTTCTACATTTTCTATTCTATTCTTAACCTCCCCTTGTCTATTTTCTATCTGCCATTTATGCTACTTACTCTCTGTACCTCTTCCCTCTCTCTCCCCTCCTACTCCCCCACTGGTAACTCTCCTTGTGATCTCCATTTCTGTGATATTTTTAAGTTTTCTCTCCAAATGTGATTATAGAGATTATCTTTTTATTTATGTTCTTCTTCCTTAATTTATCTTTAAGTATGCTTATTGCACTTTTAATTTATGCTAGTATCATTTTTATCTCTAATATTTCTTTTTCTTCAGTCTTTGTTCTATTATATCTACTTGCAATGTAATGGAAGCAATATTTTCCCTTGATATTAACTAATTGTAATGTTTTCCTCTACTCATACATAGCATTATCTATTTTTTCTGTTCTCCTTTCTTTTTTTTTAAATTTTCTCTCTGATCTTCATTTAAATGTTTTCTCAAATGCCTGGTCATCGCTGGTTCTTAGCAGCAGGGATGGTGCTGGTGGGGGAGCAGTAGCAATTGTCAACGGATGCACTGCATTGTAAATTGATCAGGCAGAGATCTGGCTATTTATCTGTTGGACAACCCAAGGTCAATGTCTGTAGGACTTGGAGGTTTTCTTATCTCGATCTGACTAGTTTCCCCAGAGAGGAATACTCTAATCTCTTGTTTGAGTGTGTTATGTAAAGCTGACTTTCATGGTTTGAATAGGGAAAGGAACTGGGGGCTTACTTTTCAACAGGGAAATTGTACTCCAGTCTCTTGTTTTCATTATTGGAATATCATTTCTAGCCTTCCTTGTACCTCCTATTCTCAAGGCTCAACTGTTTTTCACTTAAGATCTTGAGAGAGTAAACATCCAGGCTTCTTTGAAAGAGGGAAAGGTCACAGCACTTGGCTCTGTAGGAAAAATGAGGAGATCCAGATTTCTTACTGCTCTTAATCATGCTTTCAACCAGGTTTACTGCCCTCGACTCCGTCTGGCTGCCCTGATTTCAGAAGAACCTGATGCACCCATCCGTGTGCATTTCAGGGGAGGATGAACTGTGTCAGTGCTCATCTTGCTGCATGTGGCTTTCATACCCCAGCCACAGCTGCCATCAGCTCAAGCTGTACTTAGCCTTTTCTGTTGTCAGTTAAGGTACTTGATATTGGTTCTCCATGCTCCTTTCCTACTGAGTCTCTCTCTCTCCCTCTCTCATTTTCTCTCTCTTTTGCTCTCTCTCACTCTGTCTTTCCCTCCTCCCCACTGTTTTAGTGGATTTCTGTTATTTTGATGTGATATAAAAATCATAAAATAATACTAATGAAAATAGTGAGCCACTTTCTAAAATCTTTCATTGAAAGAGGTGACCAGGAGTCAGGCAAAGACCATAACAAAAAAGATGTCCTAGTCCATTTGACCTGCTTTGAGAAACCCCTGCACATTGGGAGACTTACAACAGAACAGAGATTTATTCTTCACAGGTCCAGAGTCTGGAATTCCAAGATCAGGGTGCTCACATGGTTGGGTTTGGGTCCTCTCCTGGGTTGCAGACTGCAGATTTCTTGCTCTGTCACCTGGTAGAAGGAGCTAGCTCTGTGAGATCTTTTTGGTAAAGACATTAATCACATTTACTTTGAATCACATTCATTTTCTCAACCAGAAAAAAAAAAGCAAATGCCTGAAGGGTTCCCTCAAAATGAATATGATTTGTCTAAAAAAACTTCTCAGAGTGGGTCAGGAGTCAGGGAGTTCTAGAGGTGAAGGACATCAAAAAGAAGAGGTTGAGGAAGTAGAGAATTTTTGCTGATGCCAGTTGGAGCAGTCCAGAGATCATGACGGGAGGGTCTGGGAGCTTGGGAAGGGGTGGAAACATGCACAGAACCCACTGAGGAGAATGTCCTAGTGTCAGTGGATTAAGAGGTTGGCTTGGGCACCCCGTGGTGACTGAGCTAGCGATGGGTGTAGGAACTAAAGGGCTAGTCCTGGTGGCTAAGGGAAAGGTGAGCCGACAGTTCTAATGCCAGCACCCCTGCAGGCCTGGTCTCTTCTGTTGCTGCAATCGGTAGGACAGGTGATATGCCTACAAGGACCAAGCAAAGAGCAGCAGGGCCCTGGTTGAGGGAGAGCACTCTGGGCTCCAGGGGCCTCCTTGATAGGCTGAAGTAACCGGTGTGGTTTCTCCAAGCTTGCCACAAACTCTGAGGCCTCTGTCCACTCAACTGTGACCTGGATCTGCCAGAATTGTGTGTAAACCCAGAGTACGTGGCTGGGCCTCATTTCCCTCACCTGCAAAAGCAGGACACTGGCCTAGTTCAGTGCCTCTCAAACCTTCCCCCCTACACATTCTGGAGATGTGCAGGTGGCCTGAATACACTTAGCATTTATCACATTTTAGCTTAACATTTCAATGTAAAGTTTAAATGGGAAATATATTAGTCCATGTGGTGTGATCATTTCTTGGCATATTAATTGGGCGTTACTTTTTCTGCTGTAGAGAACCATGCCAAATTGCAGCTCTGTGTGTATGTTTCCTATATTTTCCCACTCCTGTTTCAGGGAGGCTGCTAGATCCTTAATTTTCCTACCTCATGGTTTTTTTTTTACAGTATAACAGAAAAGCTGGTGAATGTTTATCATTTTACCCACTTGTGCAAGTCTAAACTCATGGATCAGTTTCTCCTAGGTGTAGGGTTGGGCAAATCCCGCACCTAGAGAAAATGTAAAGAGAAAGGGGCGTGGGCCATTAGAGAGGAGGCATTTCTCCCCAGTCTGGCAGGAGGGTCGATCTTGGAGCCTGTGCATGATGCAGATGTGGGGCACCAGGCCCGGCTGCCCAGAAGCGTGTGCGGTGAATATCAAGGCTTCCCTTGGTCTGGGGGCTGCAGCACTGGAGAGATCCCCATGGCTGGATTTAGTTCTATTGCAGCATATTGGATAGTTTCAAGAGAACCCAGAACCTTTTACAAATAGAGTATCAGCAATAACTGTGATGTAATGAAGAGAAATCAGCCTTTTCTCATTGGGGAGACTCCATGGAGGACTTCCAGATTCTTGTATGACCCCAGAGAGAGCCGTCCCAGCTGTCGCTCAGATTCCCCCATGTGCCAGCCTTGCAGGCAGTGCCGAGTCATGACTAACCCATGACCTTGATAAATCTCTTGGCCTCCTTTCCCTCATTGGATAAATGAGAAGGTGGGTCTGCATGATTTCTAGTCGCATCCAGCTTTAAAATAAAATGTGATTCTTTTTTTCTGTATTCTATGTCCCCCGTTCACAATACGTACCAGGCGAGGGGCCTGGGCCGAGGCACATATGCGGTGGCTTTGCTCTGCCTTCCCCTTTCTGTGCTGTCAGTATAAGGACACAGCCTGTGGTAGGCCCTGGGGGGCCAAAATGTGATTCTTTTTTATCAGACAAGTTGAGGTGGGGCACCCATAAAAAACCAGAATTATCTGCTGGAGGTGAGCCCCTTGTAGTACATGCTTCCCTCGCTGGGTGAGTGCTCTAGGAACCCGTCTGGGTCACTGTACCAGCTGGGTTGTTGTGAGAGGCTGTCTTCAGCTTCAGTGAACTTTTTTGGAAGACTCTTTCAACACATTTGCCCACTTCATGATGGGTGATGTACGAATGCACCTGCCCACACTGCACTGAGTGTTCAGCAGTTTTTGGTCAAAAATTGCACTGACCCCCATGCCCTACGGTCTCTGTTCACTCAATTTCACCTCCAGCAACTTTATTTTTATTTCCTTGGGTGAAAAAAGTCCTCAAAGGGAAAGGTTTTGCCAATGTAGAAGCGATGAAACAAAAAAGGCAGAGTCACTAGAAGGCATCAAAATCTATGAGTTCAAAAACTGTTTTGGGCAGTGGAAAAAAACATCTTGATGGATGTATTGCATCAAATGGAGTATACTTTGGAGGTGATGGAAGTATAAACATGGAAGAATAAATACACCTTTTTAATAAATAAATTCCAGGTTTTGTGGCATCCTCCTTCATATACCTACCCTGAAGATTCCTCCCAAATCTCCTTCCCTTCAGCCCCTAAACCAAGGCTACACCCTGAGTTAGCATAAGCACTTTCATGAAGGCATTGGGAGAGAACTGTGTTCTTTGCCAGCTTCTTTTTATGTTTCTATGTACTGGAGTGTTAGAGTGTTCACTTGGAGCATTAAAATTAGGAATTATTGAGTGATTTCTTTGTTCTTCCTCCTAGCAGAGCCAACCTCAAAAGCACAACAGAAATAGCAAGAAACTTGTAAGGAACACACACTACTTAAATCTATGGAGTTCAGCACCGTTTAAAAAAATCAGAAGAAAAACTGACTTAAAAAGATGCAAGAAAATTAGGCAGTTTTGGTAAAAAGTAAATTAAAATGTTTTTTTCTCAAACAAAATATCCTAAAAGAAATCTGCTCCTTTGTGCACTTGAAAATTAATACTTGTCCAACCTTTATTTTTTTTTTCTATTTATTTATTTTATTTTATTTTTTTGAATTGTTTATGCTGTTACAGTTGTTCTATTCCCCCCTTCATTCCCCTCCACCCTGCCCCCCCACCCCCCCGATTACCCCCCCTTTAGCTTATGTCCATGTGTCTCAAGTCCTTTAGGTTCTGTATTTCCCATACTATTCTTGCCCCCCCCATCTATTTTCTATCTACTGTCTATGCTACTTGTTTTCTGTACCTTCTCTCCCGTCTTCTACTCCCACTCCCCCTGTTGCTAACCCTACTTGAGCTCTTCATTTCTATGTTTCCACTCCTGATCTAGCTGTCCTTTTAGTTTGCTTTCGTTTTAGGTGTGGTTGTTGATAACTGTGAGCTTGTTGTCCTTTCACTGTTCATGTTTCTTTAATTTCTTTTTCTTAGATAAGTCCCTTTAACATTTCATATAATAAGGGCTTGGTGATGATGAACTCCTTGAATTTGGTCTTATCTGAGAAGCACCTTATCTGTCCTTCCGTTCTAAATGAAATTTTTGCTGGGTAGAGCAATCTTGGTTGTAGGTCTTTAGTTTTCATGACTTGGAATATTTCTTTCCAGCCCCTTCTTGCCTGTAAGGTCTCTTTTGAGAAATCTGCTGACAGCCTGATGGGGACTCCTTTGTAGGTGATTGTCCCCTTAGCTCTTGCTGCTTCCAGGATTCTCTCCTTCGTTTTAATTTTGGCTAATGTAATTATGATATGCCTTGGTGTGTTCCTTCTTGAGTCCAACTTTTTTGGTACTCTCTGGGCTTCTTGGATTTCTTGGAAGTCTGTTTCCTTTGCCAGATTGGGGAAATTTTCTTTTATTATTTGTTCAAATAGTTTTTCCACTGGTGGTTGTGTCTTTCCCCCTTCTGGTACCCCTATAATTCGGATATTGGAGCGTTTATAGATGTCCTGGAAGTTCCTAAGCTTCTCCTCATTTTTCTGAATTCTTATTTCTTCATTCCTTTCTGATTGATCATTTTTTTCTTCCTTCTGGTTTACTCCATTGAGTTGAGCCCCAGTTTTTTTTTCATCTCTATGGGTTTCCTGTGGAATTCCATTCATTTCCCTTAATTTAGCCTTCATATGTTTCTCTAATTTGTGGCTATAGTCCACCAGATCTGTGAGGAAGCTGACGACCAGTGTTTTAAATTGTGCGTCTGAGAGATTTGCTATTTCTTCGTCACTTAGATTTATCTCCGGGACTTTGAGGTCCCCCTGCGACATTTTTGGTCTGTTCTGGCCCTTTAAGTGAGAGAAGCGGCGCCTTGGAGTCCCAGGTCGCTGGGTTGTGACGCTGTATGTGGGGGCGTGGTCAGAGCGGGGGAAAAATGGCGCCGCCACCGGTCCCCCGCTCACTCCCTCACCCGCGCGTAACCGGGCACCCACAGTCAACTCGCTGCCACCGCCTCCCCACTGACTCCACCGTAGTCACTCACCCGGTGGGCTGCTCACTAGGTCCAATCCTGGGTTTGGAGCCCGTGCGACTGGATTCACGCGACTGGATTCCGCGCCCGCGCCCGGGTCGAACGAGTTCTCCTTTGTAACTCCTCAACCCGCCGCCGCCGGCTTCGCCTCCCACCGGCCGGGCCGGAGAACTTGCTGTTTGCGGACTTCCGAAAAGTCGCGCGCGCGTCTGGGTTCCGCGCCCGCGCCCGGGTCGAACGAGTTCTCCTTTGTAACTCCTCCACCCGCCGCCGCCGGCCTCGCCTCTTACCGGCCGGGCCGGAGAACTTGCTGTTTGCGGACTTCCGAAAAGTCGCGCGTCTGGGTTCCGCGCCCGCGCCCGGGTCCAACGAGTTCTCCTTTGTAACTCCTCAACCCGCCGCCGCCGGTTTCGCCTCTTACCGGCCGGGCCGGAGAATTTGTTGTTTGCGGACTTCCGAAAAGTTCAGTTTTCCGTGTTCTGGTTGTGTTCTCTGATGCTAATATTTAGTTGTCCTTAAACTTGGTTGTGAGAGGAGGCAGGCACATCCACCCTAATCCTCCATCTTGGCGGAAGTCTTGTCCAACCTTTAATAGTCAATATATTTACCTTTGGAGAGAGGCAATAGGTTGACAAATCCTTCAACCTTTCTCCAACTTGCTCTTTATTGCCTTTCCCCATGTAAACCTGACATACAACAGTCACTGACCAAAATCCATCAACATCACCCTCCAGGCATCCTTAAGTACCTGGAAACTCCTGCAACTATGGGTCTCCTATATCCACACTAGTATGTGATGACCTTGGGACTCAAGTCCCTTTTTTGACATCCACATCATAAACATCATACTTTTCCAATAGGTAAGCAATGACATTTAGTCAAGAATACATAGATTAATGGTTAAGATTTTGGATTCAGAGACTTGAGTTCACATTTCAGCTTTGTTACATATTAAAAGAAGTTTCTTAGTATTATGGAGCTCTTATGAAGACATAGGTCCTATTTTTCCCCAAACCAAGTAGCTGAATCCAGCTCATCTCAGGCAGGTACTCAAGCTTTACACCAGTGCTTCAGTGGGAGGTGAGCTGAGGACCTTGTACGGTGCAGACCCTGGTGCAGCAGGGCTGGGGAGAGGTCAGGGTTTTTGCATTTCTGACTGGTCTCAGGTGATGTGCATACTCTCCAGTCCGTGAACCAGTCTTTGACTAGCAAAGCTTTCCACCACATAAGTAGAATATAATCCCTATTTGTAGAAACTTTTTGAAGCATCTTAAAAATAAAAAGTTTTCCCTAAGCAATTTCAAGAGAGGTGTCCATGTACTCCTTATCATTTGCAAAGTAGATACTTTGGTGCTAAATAAAAGTCTAAGGTTTTATGGAATTTTTAAGGCAGGAAAGACCATATCTCATCTAGCAGATGCAGTCAGGGCAGTGTGACAGAAGAGGCACTTTGCATATGCATGGGGAATAAGAGGATTTGCACGGGTAAAAATGAAAAATTACAGCAGCCATATAATAAACGACAATGATGACAACAGACGTCTTCAGGGCACTTACTGTCTGCCAGGCACTGTTCTGAACCTCCTGCCCACCTTAACTCATGTCACCCTCGGAACCACTCTGTGAGTGAAGGACTTTTAGGACATCACCGGGTGGCTATCGCTGCCATAAACAGGCACAGAGAGGGTGGGTGAGTAATTGCACTATGTTGCGGTCACAGGCCAGCCCCAGAGGAGCTGGGAGGCAAAGGCAGGAAGTCAGGCTTTAGCTTCTGCTGTACTACATCAGTGAGTCAGAATATATGAGATGCCTGGAAGGCGCACAGAGCCACTTTCACAAAAAAATAAGCTAAGAAATTCAGATTCAGAAAAAGTGGATGAAAAGCCATTAATGCTAATCTAGCACTGGCTCATTTGTACAAACTCTGAAGCTCTACGAACAGCCCTAACATGATATTTTAAGCATATTGGTAATCTGAAATTTTAATATATGGTTCAGCACAGATACGGATTTCCACAGACCTGTCTGTGTTCAGTGCCTTACTCTTCCATTTAGTGGTTGTTGTCCACTAAGTAAATGGAGCACGGAGGCTGCTGTGAAACAGTATGAACAGTTTTATCTTTGATCACTCCAAAACACACACACACGCCCACAAACAGAGTTTCTCTCATGCCCCTTCCCTGGTGGATGGGGCACAAGAGGAAGTATTGCCCATCACTTTGAAGAAAATACCATAGCTGGACTTCCCAGCGACACTAAGTGGCCCTCTGGCTGACAGACAGGAAGCCATTGTCAGACACAAAAGGCGATGGATGCTGGGAGCCGGAGAGGCAGTGTTTAGTGTTAATGTCAAATGGCTGCTATGTGAGCAAAGGAGCGTGGCTAACAGGAGGCTGCTGCCCCCTGGTACATGTGACAGTTCTAAAGAATAATGGGGTGACTGCTCTCATTCTGTCCTTTGCCTTTGTGTTGCTGGCCTTAAGGGAGACCCGAGAGC